AAATGCAAAGAAGAGGGGTTAAGGATTGATCGTATACGGAAGGCGAAAGATAGAAGAGTAATTGTAGGATGTAGCAGCCAACAGGAAATTAAAAAGATTATGGACAGAATAAACGAGGAAGGGACACATCTTACCGCGGAAGAAATTAAAAATAAGGACCCACTGGTAGTTCTGAAAGACGTCATGAGCTACAACACCGATGACGACATATTACAGGCCCTTAAGAAGCAAAAACCAACATCTTTTAGCTGGAGTGAGTGAGGAGGACCTGCGCATGGAGGTCAAGTACCGGAAAAGGACCAGGAACTCCCTCACCTCGCATATTGTACTTAAGGTGTCGCCACGGCTATGGAGGCTCATGACTGAAAATGAAATAGTCCATATTGATCTCCAAAGAGTGCGGGTGTCGGACCAATCTCCATTAATTCAATGCTCCAGGTGCCTGGGGTATGGGCACACAAAAAGACTCTGCACCGAGCAGATAGATACTTGCAGTCACTGCGGAGGCCCACACCTCAGGGTGGAGTGTCCAGATTGGATCGCGGGCGAAACACCTATATGCAAAAATTGCACCAAGGACAAGTACGAACGTAGGGACCACAACGCATTCAGCGCTGATTGTCCAGTTAGAAAAAAGTGGGATGCCTTGGCAAGATCATCCGTGGCATACTGCTAAGGTGGCCTCCAAGGGACCTGCAAGCCTGACCTTAAAAGGAAGATATCATGCCTCAACAGGAAAACTTCAAAGTGCCGGACGAAAAAGATGTTCCATAAAATTAAGCAGGGCAAATACGAATGGCGCCTTGAAGAACTTGGCTTCCAGTGGCAGGATATCAAGCCGACACTCGGACGCGTCAGGCGCGTTTTGGATAAGAAACCGGGATCCAACAGGAGCAGGTCTGGAGACACGTAGTAAACAACAACGAGTGACTAGACAGCCTCGCTCGGACTTGAACAGAGCTATGCTATCGACTTGGAACTGTAACTTTAGGAACTATAAAGTCAAAACGAACACCTGAAAACTGGAACATATTAGTGCTCTATATGGAACAGTTTTCCGCAACCTCAACAGAAGCCAGGTTCACGTGAAGATGCATACCTCGTTCAAGTTGTATGAAACGGGAGGAGCTGTCGTGTCATAATATAGGAGTAAGAGCCACATATTAAAAAATAAGTCCAAGTAAATAATCACACAACAGCGGAAAAAGAAGATGAGTAAAGTAGGTAGTACTGAGAAGCATATATATCTGGATAAAATAGAGAAACAGTAATACAAAAGAAGTGTTAAATATAAAATTGTGCACATACATAATATGTATGGAGACACAATTTTAGTAGGAAAACGAAGCAAAATTAAGTAAAAGAAGATATCACAGATACAAAACATAAGATGAAATAAATAAACATAGACGAAAAAATCTCAAGGAAGAAGTGTCCAAGGAAATAAAATAAATATAATAAAATCAAGAGACCCATAAGAAATAAAGTACATGAAGAAGCAACACAGGAATAAAAAAGTAAAGAAAAGTGTACAAAAAGTAAAATCGTCAGGAACATTAGAGTTAACATAAAAACAAAAAAGAAAATAAAAGATCCTTTAGAAAACAAGGGCCCTGACCAGCCACCAGAAAAAGTGAAGAGAAAAAAAAAAAAAAAAAAAAAAAAAAAAAAAAAAAAAAAAAAAAAAAAAAAAAAAAAAAAAAAAAAAAAAACCGAACCGAACCCTAACCTAACCGAACCTAACCTAACCTAACCTAACCTAACCTAACCTAACCTAACCGAACCTAACCTAACCTAACCTAACCTAACCTAACCTAACCTAACCTAACCTAACCTAACCTAACCTAACCTAACCTAACCTAACCTAACCTAACCTAACCTAACTAACCTAACCTAACCTAACCTAACCTAACTAACCTAACCTAACCTAACCTAACCTAACCTAACCTAACCTAACCTAACCTAACCTAACCTAACCTAACCTAACCTAACCTAACCTAACCTAACCTAACCTAACCTAACCCATAACCTAACCTAACCTAACCTAACCTAACTAACCTAACCTAACCTACCTAACCTAACCTAACCTAACCTAACCTAACCTAACCTAACCTAACCTAACCTAACCTAACCTAACCTAACCTAACCTAACTTAACTTAACTAACCGCAGAATTTTTTTGAGGGGCCCAAAGCTCCTAAGAAAATGGGCAATGCCCTTTATTATAAATCTGTTACTCAGGAGATTTATTTGTACTTCTGTTATCTCCATAAGAGAGCCGAAATAAAATTGGTGTAAATCACCACCGGTTTTCTCAGGAACGGGTGGATCTAGCAAAATCTAAATTTACCCATATCTTTTTATCGTGTTGACTAGGCACCTTGATTTTTATACAACCAATAGGGACTATAGACCTCAGTATCTGGTATAAATTTCAATTTGCTAGGTCCACCCGTTTCTGAGAAAATTGGTGGTGATAGACGGACAAGAGTGATCTTATAAGGGTTCCTTTTATTACCTTTAAGGTACGGAACCCTAAAAATAAACAAATCAGATATTGCACGTGCGCTATGTGTCACCGGAGTCAAACTAGTTGAATTTTTGAATTTACATTGGACGGGGGAATAATAAAAGTTTAAGAGTTATTCGAAGTGACAAGGAAACAAGAGACCGTTTTTTATTTCATCGGTTGCAAAGTATTCGCGTCACGCACAGGCGCAGATTTTTCACCAGATAGCCTTCACGTAATTTAATTCCTCACTTTGTTACAGTCAAAACGTCAAAGCCGAGTCGAATTTTACATCTTTTTACCATTAAATGACAATTTTCCACTACGGATTTTTAACATTCTTTTCTAATTTTGTGCCACGTCAAATACTTGATAACGTTAAAGTACGTATTTATTTACAAAGAAATCCGTATGAGAATAGTTTATTTACAAAGAAATCCGTATGAGAAACCTAATGTCACAGAATTAATATAAGTACTTAACAATGTTTGATAAATAAAAAAAACATGTACTAATATTTTTAATAGTTAATTTACACTTTCATTTATACTTAATTTACGTACTAATTAATTTATTTAGTTGTGGATGCAGGTACCTCTCGATTGTACTTTGTGGTCGTCTGCGCTTCGTAGATTTGTACAGGCTGAAACGATATTGATGATATGGGTGAATATTTTTTTCTTTTATTTAAAAAAAACAACGCCCTTACTTTAAGATGACTATCGTGTGATGTATAGATGTTTTACAAACATAAATTTCACGTAAAACTATTCAGAATCTTGTAAAGATTCAAGCGATTGACATAATCTTTTCACTTGTGTTTGAGATGTTACTCCCCAAAAACTTGGCTTACCCTTGCCAGGAATTTTATTAAATCAATTTAATAATCTTCCAGCATCGACGGTAGAAACACTTAGAAGATATTTGAGATCTTCTAACGTTAAACCATCAATGACGCCGCCAGAGACAAAACTGTCGACTGCTGATAATGACATAATTGCCTCGAAAACGAGTCACGCAGTCAGTATTGATATTTTTGTGGGAAGGTAATGTTATGGGAGGTATGTTATGGAGGTCTATTGATTTTAATTCAGATTTATCAGTAGGAAATAGGAATAGGCAAAGATTTCGCTTATGCCAACTAGATTCAGAATTGGAGAAACAATTCTGAATATAGTGAGATTACGACCTAGCAAGCAACATCGTTTCAAATCTTGGAATTCTTTAAATTAATGGGTTGCCATTTTGAAAATTAGTTTAAACTTTTATCATCATAGGCGTTAGAAGACTTATTAAAAACTCCAGTATGGTGTGAAACTGAAATAGACCGACCGGAGCTGCGCTTTATATGCATGTTTACTAATTTACTCACGATGTGTGTGTATACTCCAATCATCATTACTTCTTTGACATTTTGATCATAAGTGAATTGTACTCTTTATTCAACGAAATAGATTTTGTACGCCGCGCGTAAGTTAAATGAGCTAAACCTTTTTATTTCTCTCGGAAATAAGAGCCATCGAAATCGGGAACTACCAACCCTATATCACTTTTATTAGCGAAATAAACATTTTTCCCTCGGAATAAACGTTAGAAGCATGAGAGCCCCGCAACCATTCTAAAGTCCCGATACACAAATTTTGAAGTAACAATAAAGAATATATCATTTTATATATAAACTAGCTGACCCGGCGAATTTCGTATTGCCTAACACACAATGAATGTCGTGTTACCTTTTAGTGAATTATTGGTAAAATTATTTCGCGAATACGATCTACCAGAGATATGTGGAAGCATTTGATATAATATCCGTGGTGAAAGGATTACCTTACCAATGTGATGTCATTGGACAAATGCTACAGCCGTTAAAACAACTTCATCTG